TCTCAGTGACGCATGCAACTCCAAATGCCTACCTTCTTCTCGTGGTCGCTGATTTCCGAGCACACCGTAGATGTGCTGACCACAGAGTCTTTGCTGATATTGTCCAGTTCCTGGATGAACTTTTCCATACTGTCCCCAAGAATCTGGTTGCTCTCGACACTCCTAGACTCAGGCTTCCGTGGCTCACTCATGGTAACCAGGGGCGATGTAATTCTCACGAAAGGAACACTTTCCGGAGTTTCTGCATCAGAGCGAAGAACCTATCAGTCTTTATATTTCGGTGCTCCCTATTAAGAGGAACTCATGATGGAGAAGTAGTGGGCAGGTCATATATTACGAGAGATATGTTCCTATGGTCGGGTTTGAGGTGTTACCTTTGGAGGGGTCTTGAGAACACGGACACCAATCTTTATTCTGAATAATCGTTCAGAAACTTCTTTAGTAACTGTACACGTGTCAACTTCTCAAGAAGTGTTCAGTTCCCTGCAGTCAGTTAACTTGTTGCTATGCTTACATATGTTGGGATAGCATATCTTGAATAGCAAAAGCATGAGTGCTGGACGGGCCGGTTTGTTTCCGTGGATGCAAAATTTGTGTCATACCCAGTGCCTCCAGACGAACCCTGGTGCACAGGCAGCCTCCTATAAGTAGTCTAATGGTGACTCCTTTCCCGGTAACAAAACAGATTGGGCGTCTATCTTATCAACCACCTGCCACTAGAGTAGAGGTCAAGACACGTGGAACTATAACAATTAACCCATATGTCGTATTCTCATATATAATAACTAACTAATCTCGGCGGAAATATATTTTTAGTTTCATTATAATGTTTCGAGATCCGCTTATTTCACAGCGTGTTCGACTTCTTACTTGAGCCAGTAAGAATAGAGCCTAAATGCTGTTTCCCAATTTTCATTTGACCTTGGGGTATGGTTAAATTGTCCTATTCTGATGGAAAACTCAACTTTATTACATAATTATACATATTATAATTATACTTACTTTCCTCGTCACACAGGGGCACTTGAGTAAGGTAACTGCCTCGCACTTTCCTTGGAGTTACTACATCATCATGAACCTGGCACAAATAACATAACGTAAATCAGATATCAGATGCATTTATACAGAAAACTCCCCTTTACCGCGACATATATGGCAAGTAATGTTCCCCGTTTAAATGAAAAGTAATATACAGTAAAAACATGTTCTCTGTTTGTCCTTGCAACGGAGCCTTCCTAAGAGATTGATGGCCGAAACATTTCGAACACATTTTCTGCAACTGGCCTCA